AAAAAAAAATTGATAATGACGTCATCTGTGCCATAATAGGTGAAAACCGATAAAACTGCGAAAATCATTCGACATATATAAAACTAAACTGTAAATTATTCGTTCTTTATTTCTGTCTCCTGTCTCGCAAATAAACACGAAAAGGCAGGAGGCTGACGCGAAAACATAACGGTTCATTTAGCCTCCAGTTACACTGACAACAACCGAGTTCTTCAATAGCTTAATCAAGCAACTTATCCCAAATCTAACTTTTCTTTTATTGCGTCTGATATTAGTATTATGACAAATAATGGATATTGTTTGCTTGTTTATATCTTCCCATCTACACATTTCCGCCAACAGGAGGACAGGAGGAGGTACCCGTTATCGGAGATTAAACTGCAACTGTACCTTAAATTTGAAAACTCTGAGCCCTGATCTGATGTATCCGTCTGTAAGAAAAATAATAGGGCTTTTATTGAGCACGCGCAAGAACAAGGCAAAGAGTGTCCTCATACATGGGAGATCAGGTGCATGCATGCGTGAGTGCTTTGTTCCGGCGGCAGTGTCTATTACTCATCATTATCTGTACGGCTTCGCTGCTCTCGTTAGTTAGTCCACCGCTGAGACAAACCACTCGCGGGCAAAATCCCATTAGATACGTAGGCTACATAGGAGATTAAATGTGCCTAGTAACTCAGGAGTGCTGTCGCTTATCTCACAATTCTTTCGCAAGAACTAAAGCGACTAGGAGTAATGCAACCCCCCCTGGGATGGAATGCTTGTCTACTATGCGTACCCCTCTAGACCAGATACAATAATGATATTTTAACGGGAAGCTTTCTCACCCGTAGGTGATCTACAGAAAGGTCCCGATCCAAAATAACATTAAATTATTAAAAAATAAATACACAAATTAAAAAATATATTAAAAATACAAAAGTAAATTATAGACTAATAGATTTAACCAACTTGATTGGACTGCTAAATAATTTGTTCCGTATTTTTAAACGTGTGCCCTGCTGTTCGAAAGCCGATTAACACTAACCCACATTTAAGTGTACATTAGTTTGCGTTCTTCCCAGCGGATTTTTGAGCAAAGGAGAGACTGCTCGCAATCTAGATTAACAGTAATTGTGAAGAAGACCTCTCGAAACCGACGGCCAACAGCTTGCCGACAGAAGGTTGACAGGTTGTTTTGGGAGCTGTTTTTCACAATTACCAGATCAACAGTCAATCGAGGAATCGATTTCTCTTATGTAAAAGTGTTTTCCTGGAAGCTAATTGGCCATATACTACGGCAGGATGACAAGAACAACTGCGACATAGCGACGACCTGGGCATCAAATGATAGAGGACGAGGACGACCAAAGATCATCCTGGGGCGTACAGTAGAGAACAAAAGCAACCGGAAGTAGGTTAGAAACCTTTGACAGAGGTATAAAGAGCGCCAGAAGACAGAGGGAAATGGCGGCACTCTGAAAAGAGGCCTGATGTGACACTTAGTCAGATGAGTTACTTATCATGAAAAAGAATTTTTCATTGCTTATGTTCTGTGGAGTTTGAAAAAATTGAAATCCAAATTCACGTTAACCCTGAATTAGCTTTCTCGTGCTGGGTGAAGACATGTCTAAGTACACAACACAAGAAAATAATCCATCAGGATAATCGGGATCTTTGCTGCAACCTTAAGTGGGAAGAACGAGTTGCAAATATCAATTGTCGATAAAAATGTTTGTCGTTTGTTAGTCATTATCATCCAGACCTTCTGCAAAGGCAATTGGTTGGATTTGTGCCTGTTCTTGACGCATCACCGATATTTACGTCTGGGTCAATGTTGCACTATTTAACGCGCCTCGCTTTCAAGAGTCGCGATTCCACGCTGAAAACCTCGCTTAGGTAACCAATCAGTGTGCGAGAATTCTCTGAACTATGCGATTCTATGAGAAAGATGACTGCAGACAGTGTAAACTATATTAAGTCCATCTGGATATTGAGCTGAAGTAAAGAATTTCCCCGCCCTCAGTCAAACGTTCCTCAATTCACTTTTCTCCGCACGTGGAAATCTTATTACTAGTTTTTCTTTTTGCAGCTTATTGAGGGAAAATGTATGGGATAAGACTTACCCCAACAGACGTTTTGAAAAACGCTCCACTTCCTTTTAATTCTAATTCATCTTTGACTCTAAAGAAAGACACAAAAAGTAAATAGTTGAGAAATACAGTTCAAATGACACATCAGATACAGTCCGTTGTAGGGTAGAGTTAGTAGAGGTACAGTGTAATCGTATATAATTCGAGTGCAATTTTAAAAGGATTTATACAAAGAGTGATCATCTGAAATTCCCTCAAAATTGAACTAGCCTTAAGGAGAGTGCAATTTGAAAGAATTTTAAAATATTACGAGTAGTTTAAATCCTTAAGAGCTTACAAGATTACTCACTTGTTATATGACTAAGAAAATTATGTTGCAGTGCAAATTAAAAATTAATCAAAAATTGGCCTGCTCTCAGCCAAACATAATGAAATGTTTTTCCTGCCGGCTGAGCTTGCGAAAGTCAGGATGTCAGTGTCATGCTCGGTCACGTGATTCAGTTTTTCTTCTCTTGCCGGACAGTGCAACAGTTTTGTCCGTTTTCGCGTGAAAAAAAAAACAGCGCTTTAATTCGATGTTATCGAGTTATGCCGCCTAAATCGAGGGTCACCCAACGTCTTTTGGCCCACAACGTTAGTCCAGTGCGGGAGTCTCGAAAACGTTCGCGCGAAGTCGAAGTCGAAGTCGAAAACAGAAAAACCCCACTCACAGCAGCCCAGGTCAAGGAATTGGTGCTCCAGTTTGGTGGGTGAAATCCTGGCGAGCTTCAGATAGTATGTCTCATTGCCCTGGGTTTCACAGCATTCCTTCGTTGGGATGACCTCAAGGACCTGAGACGCCATAATCTGCATATAACAAGTGACCATATGTCCATTAAGCTCACCAAAAGAGAGAGGGTTCTGTCATCTTGGTGGCTCACATGGGCTTTCGTACATGCCCTGTATCCTTGACCGAAAGATTTTTACCTGTTGGTCTGACTATCTGTTTAGGAAGATTTGCCACACCAAACATGGCTTCTCCTTTCGTCTGCAACAGCTGACTTACTCAAGGGCCACCGAGCTGTTTGAGAAGCAACTCAAAGTCATTGGGCTCAACCCCAAGCAATATGGCCTACACAGTCTCAGGTCGGGCGGAGCATCCTCTGCAGCAGCTGCTGCCATCCCAGACAGGCTCCTGATGCGTCATGGGGGCTGGCGTTCACAGACAGCTAAGAACATGTACATTAACGAAATTGAACAAGCCCTTCTGAGGGTTTCTAGAGCTCTCTGTTTGCAAGGAGGTACGGTTACGTCGCTAGTCCTGCGATATATTAGTTGTTTTCTCTCCAGTTCTTTCGAGATTCTACACTAAGCTTGGCTAATAGTCCTCTTTTTCCTTATTTCGTTCTTTTCTATTCAAAGTTCATCAACAGAGCCGATCTGTAGAGGACTCATGTTTTAGTTGATTTTTTTCGATCCCAGTGACAATTTTTCCTAGGCTCTATGCTTTTTCTTCTTGTCAATAAAGTGCGGTTGCATTGTCGTGTGGTAGACAAACGGCATTCAGTGTGTGAGAAATGTTTTTCCTGCCAGCTGCGCTTGCGAAAGAGGCAGGAAATGATGTTCTCTCACACTGAATGAGTGACCTGGGTACGAGTCAGGATGTCAGTTTCAGGCTTGGTCACATGATTCAAATTTTCTTTTCTCACCAGACAGTGCAACAGTTTTCCCACCCTCCCACCCCATAGCGAGTTCTTGCCTAAAGTTTACAGAAGTGTATCAATGTTTGGGTAGTTTTTTCCTGTTGTTGACTCCAATTCTGTTATCATTGTGATGTTGATAGAAATGTCAATAAAGTGCTGTTGCACTGTTGTGTGGCAGACAAACAGCATTCAGTGTGTGAGATGTAATTTTCTCAGTCTTGCACTAACTAGGGTTCTTTAAAACGCATATAGTAACTGATGACACAAACAATGCCTTGAGCCACTAGCAGACATTAATAACCTGGTTGCAGGTCAAAATATTACCAAATTAAGCTATATGCATGGTCTCCTGTCACAAGTGAATTAGTTTTCCCTGGCAACTATTCTATATACAAATATCCCACATAATAATATACATGAAAAAATTACTCGACTGATTGGCTGAGAGCAGTGCAGGTCAAGTGTAATACCAGTGCAAATTATACATCGTAATTCTGGATTATGACTGGCTGAAAGACGATAGGAAATTTTCTAAGTCAATGATATCACGTAAAATGATCATTGATAATAATAATCGATATTTAAACAGGGTGACCCCTTCAGTCGCAGGACTGGTATCAACGGGAGCCCTGTATAACGTAAAATAAAAAGAGCATGTATAAATAATATATATCTATAAAAAAGTAACTACTATAAAAGATACGCAGAAATGTTTAAAAAATTAAAAAGCTTAAAAAG